TGCAAAACCAGACGCAATTCTATTTTCCAACAAGGAATGTGGAACCACCAGCTCACATTTGGGCTTTTCTTCGAAACGACTTTGGCCATTTTCCTGTCGTACTGTCCTGGATTGGACAAGGGTCTGCGCATGATGCCTCTACGGTTAGCTTTTTTGATTGTTATGGTTTGGTTGCGTGCTGTCTTTTCTGTGTCAACTGCCTGGTTTTGGAAGTTATCACGGGAAGTGACGATCAAGTGATATAAGCTACTACGATTATAATGTATCAGAATCATAGCACGAGCGCCCAGTTTTTAAAAGACTGCTTCTGCGACCCTGAAAATTGTTTGGACAAATGTCTATTGAAATAAACTCGAGATTTTGTACATATAGTATCAGCTGTCGTGGTTTGATCACTGATTCGTTTCGTTTCTATTGCTCATATTTTTATTGTTTCTACCGTTCCCCGACTGGGCGTTCTGACGACCTGTCTAAAACCTTGATCTATAAGCACTAGTCTATTGTCCGCATGAACTGAACTGTATTCATAATTTGTCATTTGTACTTCGTGAACTGTCTCCACTCATTAAGGAAGTTATGATATAATTTACATTCTACAAGCAATTCCAGACCAGCTCATTTCCTTTGTCTGCTTTTGATTCTTTTTAGATTCACTTGGTGGTTGCCGGCGCTGCCGTTTAGCTTGCTCATTTTCGTCTATGATGAAGTTCGCAAACTGCTATTGAGGAAGCTACCACCGAATTCCTGGCTGGAACGCGAAACATACTACTAAGCGATTGTGCTACCTTGTTTGTCCGTCCGTCTGCGTGTCTCCATGTTTTTGATTTCTGCATGTTGAAGAAAGGTTCCTGCTTCCGATGCGTTGTCAAACAAGCCGGTGACACGCCAAAACAAGAGCCACATCTCGCGGGCGCTCACAGTCGTAGTACACATCCTGTTCCATTCCCTATCCCTTTGACCCAATTCAGCCTTTGCATTCTAACTGTGAACAGTTGCCTTTTGATTCCTGACTCTATTTCACTGTCACGTACATCAGATCACAGCCTCCATCCGAAGTTACCTTTCTAACAAAAGAATTATCAGCATTCAAATTCCTGTTTCGCACTAGGCAGTCACCGTTCTAATCCTCACGGTTTCCATTTTCCCATTGGCGTTGGTTGATCTTTGCTCCTAAACCGTTTCTTTGACCGTTCGCTTTTGTACTCATTCTCTGTTTATGAGCCAATCAGTAGTATCTGTTACGTTGCTCGCTGTGAATTTCCAATGAGCTAGTGCCCTTCCAAGTTCCCTTCATCCGTACGAATCTGTTTGATGCAACGTTTCATTTTTTTTCTCGCTGTGTTTTGAGTACACGAGCGCACACACTATCTCTGTTGACTAAGTGTCTACTTTGGTGCGGAACAACCGATTCCTTCTTCGTTCCTCCGATGAACACATTGTGAACACTTTGTAACTGACTGTCCTTTTCCGATTGTTTTGGATACTACAGTCCTACGTGTGACTTGTGGATTTCCGCGTTTATGGAAATCCCATACCCCGTTGCATTGCCCTCAGCCCCATTAGTCCATTTCAGAGCCTAGATCTTTTCAACGTAAATTCTGTTTGTTTTTCCCTTCATACTTCCCTCATGGTTTATAACGCATCAACCTTGTTCACTATTTGATTCCATGTGCCACAAAAGTTAACTGGCCAATGAAACCGTAGAAATCTTAACACATTTTTGTTTGGTCAGAATACACAGTCAACATCGACGGTGTTAATGCGATCAATTTGTGTGTGAGTGCGTGCGTTCGTGTAGCGCCTAGTTTCCCCGTGATCCTGATTCCCAACTTCGTTTTGTTTCTAATACCACTGGAACTCTACAAGCGCATTAGTGAACGTTCTAAGAACATTCTGTATAACTGTCGCACATCGCCGTTGTTTTTTTGATCGGTGCTCAAATAATCTCATTCACTACTGTCAGCCTCCTTTCATCTCATTGTTCACATCCTTGAATCCAGCAATCAGCCACTTCTAGCAATCATGTGATTCGGACCTCTCCGCTTCTTCCTTAGTCAACGCCACCTTTTGGCTACCCTGTCTTGGTTGCACCCACGGTGTCCTAGACGTCGAGCACGCGTACACCAGTGATCCTGCAGGACTTGGTTAGCTCACTACTCAGGCACGAAACAATTGAATTTGTGCACCGTGTATGCATGTGTACGTGCTGCAAGTGTGATGTGCTGTCGGATTATTGACCTAAACTCTAGTTTCAACTTCGCTTGCGGTATTATTATGATCTCACAGCAGGTACTTGCCATCCAGATTTTTGTGTGTGAGCTGAGTTTACCAACTCTCCGGCCATTTCATTACATCCTGGTGTGGTTCATTCTTGAGCTCGTCTCTTGATTTCTGTAGTCCTGGTCTTACCAACAAAATGGCACCGTTATTGTCATTTTTATGTTTGACGTCCACTCTTCCTCTTGCGGTGAACACTCAAGGTTGTCTATCAATTAAGATCTTTGTGAAGTACATTGAATGGCTTTGTCATCTACAATTTAGACGTTTCTGGTCGGTCCTGTTTTTTTGTACACTAATGCGTAGCTCAGTTCACACTTTCTTCATTGATCTCGGAGTTCTCCCTCTCTGGAATGAGCTTCACGCCTGGACCGTATGCAGTCGCGTGTGATGGCAATGAGCTCGCTATTTACTGTGGTTTATTTCTGTCGTTGCAAGTGCAATAACATGAAATGATGGATTACAATAAAGAGGCCAAGTGGAGCTGCTTTCTGCACACATGCATACACGGAATTCCTTAGTCGATTGTTTCTTTGGTTGTTTGTTTTAATCAAGACCGCACTGGAATCTGCACATTTCATTTTTTGTAGTTTCAGTCCCAAATCCCTTTTCCCGAAAGGAGAAGTTCAACCATTCATCTTACTATTGTTAACACGAACCACTATCAACAGTACCAATAATATTGCAAACTACCATTGATAAAACTAATATTAATATTGATGATATTACAAATAGAACTACCACTGCGGATGACAATAAATATTGCACCACAACTCGTTTTCTTTTGTGGGGCGAGAATTGGATGGTCGGTGTAGGGACGAATACGGGGCAATTTTAAGCTATTATCCTCAGGCCCGTTCGTCTCCGTTTTGGTCACGAATGGATACCCGTTATGGTCATTTCTATCGGTCGCAAATAATGGTGATCTAGCTCCCACGATAGCGCGAAGCATTTGAAACAGAAGACATACGTGTAAGAGTTTGTGAAGGGATCAACGTGGGCACCATGTTTGGTAATGATGTAAACTCGCGATGCCAAAAGGACATATTACTAAACAAGCGGACCATTTCAACCGTTTTACATGGTACGGATATTCTCTAAAGGCACTGCAGTATAGTGGACCGAGCTGGGAAGCGTATTTCGTCCAGTGTGTTTTGCTCATTTACTGGTTCTTTCAAACCCTAACCTCCAGCCGAACTGTCTCAGAAACACTGGGTTTAGCAAATCGAATTTGAGTGTATTTGCACTTCAAGGAGCCCCAATGAATATCAAAATTTATCACTAAACCGTATGCGCATTTTAGAAGAGAATCAGGCATAGTGTATGCAATACGACAGCTGAGTAAGAAAATTTATTTGTTACACAATAATAAGCTTTACATTTTCTCGAAGTATTCTACATCGTTTATGCACAGTTCCGTGCGCTCAATCCATTTGGTGAAGCAGCTCGACCATGCTGAAGCGGGTAACCTTTGGGCCAGTTGTTGGTGACTCGTAGCGGATTCCACGCATCATGCGCTTGGCATTTGGGAACACAAAATGTCATAGAACCAGGTTTGTGGGATGGGTTACCAACCTCCTGGATGCTTTTAGCCAGAAAATCACCGACGGTATAAGGCCTGTGTGCAAGTACGTTGTCATGGTGCAGCGAGAGCCCTCGAGTCCATGGATGAAGCCTGCAAAAAAGCTTTAAGCACTTTCGGCAAACAGTGAGTACCAGCCTCCGGTGACTGCTTTGCTGTAAGAGCGGTACAGTAGTCACATGACCGTTTTGGCCATGAACAAAGCCACCATCTACTCCGCCTCATTGATCGAGTCGGAATTTCTGAGGAGGCACTCTGCCAACCGGCGTCCACTGAGCCGATTGTTGCTTGGTCTCTTGGCCGAAACTGTATACCCAGGTCTCATCATCACTGATGATCTTCCAAACTGTATTGGAAAGTCCACCATCAAAATTGGCAAGTATGGCGCGGCAACAATTCACCTGAACTGCTTTCTGTTCTTCACTGAGCTGATGGGGTACGCGGTGTGCTCAAACCTTTCTGAGGCCGAGCTTCTCGTGTAGGATTGTGCGGATTGATCCCGATGGCTTTCTTTAGCTGTCATTGTCACCCGCGCATTCTCCTCCACCATCACATGCATAGCAGCAATGTTGTCCGCTGTAATGACCTCCACAGGTCTACCATACCGAGTCTCGTGATCCAGAGACCGCCTGTCACGCTTGAATTCCGCTAACCACCCAAACAGAGTGCCTGTCATCACGAAAGGCAGCTCTCAAGTGATCAACACTCTGCTACTGCTGCTTTGAACCACA